AGATAGAGAGAGAGAAAGTGAGAAATCACCCCCCAAGGGGGGATGGCCACACCGCAATCCCTTCTCCTCCATTCTCCTCTCAGGATTTTGGGCATGCACGCACACACGCCTGGCATGAGTTTAAGCCTCTGGGTCTAGGACTTGAACTGCAGTCGACTACATGGGAGTTCAGCGACATAGCCATGACCCATCTGCTGCCCCCCCATGTTATTTAATAACAATAATAGTAAAACTGTAAGCAACTACCCTTCCAAAGGGCTCAACCTAAGAACTTAATCCCTGTTAATATACTAGTCCTTACACAGCGCCTTAGGCAGGGACCGATGAGGAAGCTGAGGCGCAGAGAGGGCCGTGGCTGGGTCTCGAGGCCGCTGACCCCTCCACCCACCACTCCGGGGCTCGCTCCCTGGCCGGTTTCAGCTCCGGGCCACCTGTAAAGGATGGCCGCTGTGGGAAGCCAGGTGTCCTTGGTGACGGGCTGGTCTCCTGTCTGTCCCGCAGCCCCCAGGACGTGCTCCCAGGACGAGTTCCGCTGCCACGACGGGAACTGCATCTCTCGGCAGTTCGTCTGCGACTCCGACCGGGACTGCCTGGACGGCTCGGACGAGGCCGCCTGCCAGACGCCCACCTGCGGCCCCTCTGACTTCCGCTGCAACAGCTCCACCTGCATCCCCGCGCTGTGGGCCTGCGACGGCGAGCCTGAGTGCGAGGACGGCTCAGACGAGTGGCCCCAGAACTGCCAGGGCCGTAACACGTCCTCCCCCCGGGCTGACCTCAGCCCCTGCTCCGCCCTCGAGTTCCACTGCGGAAGCGGCGAGTGCATCCACTCCAGCTGGCGCTGTGACAACGACCCCGACTGCAAGGACAAGTCCGACGAGGACGGCTGCAGTACGTGCAGGGCCGGGGCCTCTCACCTGTCTCCGGGTTCTCCCAGGGAGGGACAACTGGTGGCTTGGGTAATCCGAGCTTGAATCACCCACTGAGAAAGTGGGTCCCCTTCGTGTCCCTGTCCATCTTTTCTTTTGTTATTATTATTTTTATAGAAAGGTTTTTGCTATAGGGCAAAAGGGGAGAGTTGAGAAAGCAAGCCACCAGGTCTGGGACTCGAACCAAGGTCAGCCATGTGGGAATTCCAGTGCCTTAACCAACACGCTACCTGCTGGCCCCATCTCTCTTTTGATTTTTAATTTGTTATACATGCACATGCTGGAAAGTGAAAAAATGACCCCTAGGGGAGAGGGCCACACCGCAGTCCCTTCTCCTCTATTCTCCTTTTGGAATTTTGGGCATACACACACATAGGCCCAGCACGTTTTTCTAACAGCTGGGTCCAGGACTCAAACCATGCATGTAGTTTGCCATGTGGGATCCAGCACCTTAACCTCTGTGCCACTTGTTGGCCCAAATAACATAAACTTTAAAAGCAAAAAAAAAAAATAGGGTATGGTAGGTGGCATGGTGGTTAAGGTGCTGGACTCTCACATGGCTGACCATGGTTTAAGTCCTGGACCTGGCAGCTTGCTTTCTCACTGCCCCTCTTCCCAGCAAAATTTTAAAAAATAATAGTAAATTAAATAAAGAATGTTTAAAAAAAAAAAAAAAAAAGGTCAGCCTTGTCGTGCCAAGGTTAAGCACTTTGCATAAGCACCTGATCTCACATGGTTAACCACGGTTCAAGGCCAGGCGTGGGGCTTGTTCGCATGTGAGCTCAAAGGCCAGACAGGACGGAGACATCCAGGAGGAAACGATGGTGGTGTGGACACATTCCACTTGGAGAAGTGCTTTCTCCCTCGCTCCTCTCGCTCTCTTTTTTAAAAGTTGGCAGAGGGCATGTGTGCTTACCAGAGAGAGGCAGAGGGAGAAAGCTCTGTCTGGCCAGGATTCAAACTACCCAATCGGGGACCAGCAGATGGCGTAATGATTACGTCAATGGACTCCCACGTAGTAGATTGTGGTTTGAGTCCTGGATCCGGTGGCTTACAAGTCACAGCAAGCATGGGGCAAGCAGGTGGCGTGGTGGTTGAGGATGCTAGACTCCCACATGGCTGACCGTGGTTCAAGTCCTGGACCTGGCAGCTTGCTTTCTCACTCTCTCTCTCTCTCTCTCTCTCACTCTGTCCTTCTCTGGTCAAATTCTAAATAAATAAATAAGTAATGCTAAATTAAATAATTCTTAAAGAAAAAACCCCTCACACTGGGCAAATGTGCATACGTGCTCAAATTCTTGAGAGGAGAATGGAGAAGAATGGATTGCAGCATGGCCATCCCCTGGTGGAGTGATTTCTCACTTTCTGTCTGTCTCTTCAGCAAGCGCTCTAGCAAAAATCTCTCTTAAAATAAAATAAAAAATATAAAATAAAATTAAAAACTGCACAGTCAGCCGTGTGGGATTCCGCTTCCTTAACTACCAGGCTGGATTGGCCCTCTGTCTCTAGGTCGAGCACACACCCTCTGTTAATAATTAACAAAAAGGGACTAGCAGATAGCATAGTGGTTGTGTCTCTGGACTCCCACATGGCCAACTGTGGTTTGAGTCCTGGGCCTGGTGGCTTAAACTCATGTGAGGCACGTGTATGTGTGCCCAAGATCCCGAGAGGAGAATGATGGAGAAGGGACTAGGGTGTGGCCATCGCCTCTGGGGGTGGTTTCTCACTTTCTGTCTCTTTGTCTCTCCCGTGAGCCTAGCTGGTGACATCTCAGCTGTGGGACTGTTGGCCGAGGACTCGACCTCACTGTACCCAGGCCTTCCCCCACAGAATGGGGCAACAGCATCGATCTTTGATGCGAGTCTGGCCATAGCCAGGGGGACTTTGTCCAGGTGGACACTGCACTGCCCTATGCTGGAGCTGCCGGCCCTACTGGACGTCAATTTGCTTGAAGTATCCCAAGGCTGACTGATGAACAAAATTTTAAAAACTTTAAAAACTTTTTAGGGGTCGGCAGATGGCATGGTGGTTAAGACGCTGGACTCCTACATTGCTGATTATAGCTCAAGTCCTGGACCTGGTGGCTTGCTTTCTCACTTTTCCTTTTTCTCTCTCTCTCTGTGGTCAAATTTTAAAAAATAATCATTATTTATTTTTATTCATTATCATTTTATTATTATTATTATTATTATTTTTATTGAAGTTGACCAAGGAGAGAGAAGAAAAGTGAGAAAGCAAGCTGCCAGCTCTGGGACTCGAACACTGGTCAGCCATGTGGGAGTGAGTCCAGCCACCCCAACCACCATGCCACCTGCCGGCCCAGTCAAATCTAAAAAATAAATGAATGAATGAATTTAATTAAATAAATAATTCTTTTAACAAATTTTAACATTTACTAGAGGGCACATATGCTTGCCAGAGAGAGAGAGGGGGAGAGAGAGAGAGAGAGAGAGCGAGCAAGCACTCTCATGGGGGACAGCCACAATCCCTTCTCCATTATTTTGGATTTGGGCATGCATGCACATGCACCTGGTGTGTTTTTCCAGCCACTGGTTCTGGGGCTCAAACGGTGTATTTTACTATGTGAAACTGCCTTAACTACTGTGCCACCTGCTGGCCCCAGAATTTTAGATTTTACTGAATTGTTTTCTAGGTTTATTTACTTATTTAAAGAATAATTGTATTGAACTTTATTTATTTATTTTGATTTGAAGAGAGAGAGAGAGGAAAACTGAGAAAGTAAGTCGCCAGGTCTGGGACTCGAACCGCAGTTGGCTGTGTGAGAGTCCAGTGCCCTTAACCACCACACCACCTACCGACCCCTTAATTTACCTATTTCTTCCATGTGAGAGTGCGAGAGTGAAACAGGCACTCCTTCCCAGCCCCGAATAGGGTCTTCCATGCCACGATCCACCCCTAGCCTCATCCAGGCGAGCTCACAGGCTGTGTGTCTGAAGCATGCAGAGAGCAATCAGGGTATGAACCTGGGATCCTTTCGTGTCAGTCCAGCACGAAACTTTTTATTTTATTTGATGATTTTAAAGAATTTTTTCATTTAATTTAATGTATTATTATTTTAATTTGCTATAGGGCACATATGCTCACCAGAGAGAGAGAGATTGAGAGACAGAGAAAGTGAGAATGCAAGCTGCCAGGTCTGGGACTCGAACTGCAGTTGGCTATGTGGGAGTCCAGCACCTTAGCCACCTGCTGGCCCCTGAACATAGATTTAGCAGTAAAGTGAGAGGCCCATGCGAGGTCAAGGTCTGGCCCGAGGCCACATTCCCCGAATTCAACATCCACAGCTGAGCATCCGGTTGGGAGATCGTTCTGGAACGTGCTTGCCAGCTGCCTTGGCGGTGGCTGCCTCTCAGGGAGAAAAACGCCCTCTCCGTCTTTTGCAGACACAGCCACCTGCCGCCCCGACGAATTCCAGTGCTCGGACGGGACCTGTATCCACGGCAGCCGGCAGTGTGACCGCGAGTACGACTGCAAGGACATGAGTGACGAACTGGGCTGCGTCAACGGTGAGCCCCGCGACCCGCCGCCCGCTCCCCCACCCCTCCGTCCCGAGCTGGAGGCCGCTGTTATGCGCTCAGAGACACGGGGTCCTGGGAAAGGAAGGGCGCTTCCCGGTCAGCTGTGCATTGGCTGTGGGTCCTCGAGCAAGTTCCTTGACTTCTCTGAGCCTCGCTTCTTCTCTAGAAAATGTGCAGAATGATGGCACACACTGCAGGACTGGGAGGTTTTTATTTCTTTATTATTTTAAAGAAGTATTTTATTTATCTATTATTATCATTTTCACATGAATTTTGCTAGAGAAAGATAGAGAGGAAGAATGAGAAAGCAAGCCGCCAGGTCCAGGACTCGAACTGTGGTCACCCATGTGGGAATTCCAGCACCCTAACCACCACGTCACCTGCTGGTCCCAGAGGGTTTTATTCTTTTAAAGAATTATTTATTTGGGGGGCTGGCAGGTGGCGTGGTGGTTAAAGGCGCAGGACTCCCACATGGCTGACCACGATTTGATTCCCAGACCTGGTTGCTTGCTTTCTAGCTTTTTCTTTCTCTCTCTCTTTCTTTGTCTCTCTCTGGTCAAATTAAAGAAATAGCAATAACAAATGGAATTAAATAAATAAAAAATAATTATCTTTAAAAATTTTTTTTTTG